GACTCGACCTAAGTAGGTCACATCAGTTACCAGGATCATTTAACCAAGTCCATATCGTTGCGAGCTTTCGAAACCAAAAGAGCAGAAGAAGTTGCTTACCAGCTGCTGGATATCTTCACGACTATTGGTGCACCAAGTGTGCTTCAATCAGATAATGGAAGAGAATTTGTGAATCAAGTTATTTCTGAACTAAAGAACATGTGGCCTGAACTTAAACTAGTTCACGGAAAACCAAGGCATAGCCAAAGCCAAGGTTCAGTCGAACGTGCCAACAAAGATGTTCAAAATATGATGACATGGATGCAAACAAATGAATCAGCTCATTGGGCTGAGAGTCTCAAATTCATTAAATTTTTGAAAAATCGTTCTTTTCATCAAAGAATTCAACAATCACCATACGAAACCTTGTTTGGATGCAAAGCAAAAGTGGGACTTAGCACTTCAAATCTACCAAGAGAGGCTCTCAATAAAGTAGTTACTGAGGAAGATCTTGAGAACACATCTGCTGGCGTGGCGGAACGTTCAGACCAGTTGCGTGACAATAATGTGGCCAACAGATTCTGTATAGTTTGTGAAAAACATTGTAGTGCAGCTCATTCTTGTGGATCCTGTGGCAAAGATGTCCATGCTATTTGTGGAGTACCCAATGAAGCAGACGAAGGGTACGGAGGGAACATTACCTGCAGATTGTGTCACAACAAACAAGACATCATGGAACACAGGTCAGCAGCTCATACTGGCTTGCAAACTCAAGGTGCTAAGATGCTTAAAACATCAAATACAAAATTTAAAGATGGTGAAGTGGGTGACAATGTACGCATCCGTGTTCCAGATGTTGACAGAGGTCGCGGTGATCTCCGAAGCGTGATTGCAGTTGTCATGAGCGTCGAGGGCGGTTTCTACAAATTAGGAACGGAACATGGTGTTCTAAAACAACTGTATGCTAGAAGTGATTTTTCAATTCTTCAAGAAAAACTGCTCTTATTGTCGTCAGTTGGCACTGAGGAAAAATCACTACGAACCATCGCATCTTCACAATCATTGACTGGGGGCCAAGGCTACATCCCCGCTGCAATTGCACAACCAAGTGCACAACAAATCGCTGCAATTATAAAAATAACAAGCTGCTATGTAATTCTAAATGCCATAAAAGTTCAACTTGTTGTAACAAATGATAATACTGATTGATTGAAACTATAGTACAATAAAAAATTTGAATGTTTCTGTCATTTACTTTAATTAATAATCAATAAAGACTTAATTTCATGATCCTTACGGCATTAAAAAACCCAAAATCTGCTCATGATTTTCTAATTCGGTCGTCCTTAGCCAGATGATCTTCTAATTAGACTTTGGCAGGTCCACCATGGCCAGTCTGCGGATTGGCCGGCCAAAGGCCGAAATCAAGCAAAGTTTCGGACTTTGACCGACCTATGGGAGGCGATATTGGCCAATGCGCGGATTGGCCGGCCAATCCGCGCATTGGCCGACTTCGGGCTTTGACCGTAACATATACATCTGTGTATTTATCTAGTAATACCAGGTTTATTAAAATCCTCAAAGATTATGCTAATGTTAACTCGAAAGTCCATTGATCTAGGGCTTAAAACATAAAACACAATGATTGATGGCCGTTACATGAGTTAATCCATACTTTTGGTCTCAAGATAAAAGGATAAATGCTTGAATATGATTATTCTATAATTAAAGGCTTTGTTTATATTTTTTGTGATTTTTCATGCTCTTTGTACTGTTAATTCAATTAATTAGGTTTGAAGGGAATGGTCGTAGTTCAAAGAACATGCATACACACGCAGCCTGTAACTACAGTATTCCACATTTTTAAAGATTAATTACACACAACGTTTGTCTATCTGCTCACACAACTTTTGTCTACTTACTCACACAACTTTTGTCTACTTACTCACACAACTTTTGTCTACTTACTCACACAACTTTTGTCTACTTACTCACACAACTTTTGTCTACTTACTCACACAACTTTTGTCTACATACTCACACAACTTTTGTCTACCTGCTCAAATACGTATACCTTCTGAAACAACGTTTGCCTAATTATTTCTATTTCGTTTTTAACTGTTTCATTGGAGGGGATTTCCTCAAACAAAATTAAGTTTTTCTTGTCAACATGTTATGCCTCATAAATTTCTCGAAAACCTTGATCCGTTCTAACTAGGTCACGGTCACCACGTATAATTGATTCACTGCCTATTGCCTACAAACAATCGATTAATCAGGTAGACTCCACTGACTTGCCAATCTTCTGGGTGATAGGACAAATTATCTCAGGACAAACGGTTATGGAACCGTCTTCTGATATCTAAGAATTAATGATTCAAATCTAATAGGTCTATTTAATTACAAAACTATGCATCCGTTGAACATTGTTAAACAATTAAATATTGTCAGCGTTCAACTCTTGTTTAGTATGTTGTGTCGTTAAATTAACCGCAGGATTTATCAATCTTCGCCATCAGTTGTTTCTAGATATGGAATTATAGATTTTCTATTAATAGGAAGTAGAGCTATTTTGATATAAACACCTTTTGGTATAACAATTCTTTGACATTTGTTGTTGTGGCGCGTGTTTGTCTTAACTACACTTCAGACGCCTCATAGTTTGTTGTATGAATGCATTGAGTTTATATTGATCACACCCCACATGCGTAGGCTAGAAGTAGAACACCTGCAGTGAACGAGTGAAGGGGGATGATTGGGGGTGAATGTTGTTGTTTCTTGGTACCCTATCCCGTTCGTCCCTGTTCAGTTCTCGTGCCGTGAGTTGTTATTGTCCGGTTTGTACCAGTTTATTAAAGGGTATATAAAGTGTATGAAAACGTGTTAGATTGCCAAAGTTTCGTCCAGATCTCTAAGGTTAGTATAGGTTTGGTCTATACTAGATATTAGCCACTATATCATAGTTTTACTAGCTTGTGTGTTTTATGTTTAGAATAGACTGTGTGATGTGTAGATAGTGTAGATATTAAATTCTCTTTTTTTTTAGTTTCAACGAGCCTTTGTTTTATTTAGTCTTGTTTTGTAACCCGTTTGTGGTGGTTTGTCTTATATGTTGCGCTACGCATCATATCACCCGAAAGGCATGTCCGTGTGTTCACAACATATAATTGAGGGCTCGTCCGGGATTTGAACCCGGGACTTCAACTTAACTTTCAGGGGTGCTGAAAAGCGCACATGGGAGCCAGCGGTTACAGTTATTCAGTCTCGAACGGGTCCACCCCGTGTTTTGTTAATTGCCATCGTCAGTATCCCCAGTGTAGGGCGTTCTTTAAAATGAATGTAGACGCCATAGAGCTTATGGAGGAGATATAAACGTTACGTATCACGAGACGACCATGGCGTCTTAGGATCATGTAGTTTGATTTTTTATTCTAATTATCCCACTGACCCCTGTAAAAAGTAATAAGTACTGTTCCCATTTTTTTAATGTGACGTTTCATGGGGCAAGTGAAGTAGAGCACCTGTTTCTGTGACCTCGGCATATGAAGAAATAGTGTGGTCAGCACTATGCCCGCCCGCCATTACTTTCCCTAACGTGAGTTGGGTACCCATCAGAGCTGAGTGGACTCAGGGACGTTCTACCAAATCCGGATTCGAACTCGAGACTTACGAGTAAGCAGTCTACTTCTAGGCCACGCCGTCCCCACATCTACGACTGTGCAGGAGCCCTAATCATTTTTTTATTATTATAGGAACCTTTGCAATAGTGTACTCAACAACTAGCCAAAGTTTGATGATGATTGTATGCAGGGGCGTAGCGAGGACGGGCGGGGGGTGCGGACCGCACCGGGTGATACCATTTAGGGGGGTGACACCAAGGCAAAAAATAGCAAAATATATAGAGAAAAACTTGAGGGGGGGGTGCAAATCGAAAGTTTGAAGGGGGGTGGGGGGTGGAAATCGAAAAGTTGAGGGGGGTGTAAATCGAAAGTTTGAGGGGGGGGGGGGTGCAAATCGAAAATTTGAATGTTTGTCCCCGGGAAGGGTCGCTACGCCTCTGGGGGGGGGTGACACCATTAAGTGCCGCACCGGGTGACACCCGACCTCGCTACGCCACTGATTGTATGAACTGTGTTATAATGCATACAACTTGAACAGATCGACAAACACTTTCATGTTTATTTACATTACAACCTTAGGGTAAGGCTCGGAGTTCGTTTTTTAAAACAGCATTTTATTGTGATTTTTATATTATTTCTTGACGGTCAGTTCAGAATTGTGCATTCAAGTTGAATCACGTTCTCATTCGCCTTGTACTAGAAAACCTCTAACTTTAATATACATACAGTGTTATTTACCCCAGGTAGCAATAACATTTCTTGAAAAATGATAGTTCGTCAACATTCCCGCCCTCCCTCCCCCCTGTTACCCTCACCCCTCCTAGGGTTAATCCATAATGAAGAGCCGTCTGCTAGTTCAACGTGTCAAGGCCACCACGTCTGTCTGACTCGCTCACTGCTGTGTAATCGTTACTTCTATTTATAGCTTGTTGTTGTTAAATTTGGCGTTGTTTCGTAGTAGCCCTAAGGTAATTCAGTTTCCTTTTTACTCTACTGACCCAAAATCTAATACTAGTTTATGAACTTGTTGGTTACCTTTGTAGAAGAATTCATGGTTATGATTATCTTGTTTTCAATCACTGCTACTTGGCCTCTCGAAATAAATAGATTATAGAGAATGTATAATCTTTATGTCTACTTTATATAAAATATAAAATATAAATGCTACAAAAGCTGAATAAAAAACTGCATGCAATTTATGTAAACATATAACAGACATTGAGAGAATAAAATGGCTGCAAAACCAGTTAACGTAACTAGGCCAAGGTTCAGTTTGTAAACATTGAGTTATTTTTAGAATAATGGCTACGATTGCGTTAGGGGAAGAGATGGTGGTGGTGTTAGTGGTGGTGGAAAAAGGGGGCGGGGGAAGGTGGGGGTTAGCAAAGTGTGTGTATGACCTGTTAAATATCAGCTACGCAAATCAGCCCGCGTCTATTGTGCTACTTTAAATAATGTGCGCACGTGAATTCTCATTCTAACATTCTAAACGGAAGATAGCAGGCAAATAAAAGCTAACAAAGTAGTACCGCGATCTTTCGTATTCCGAAGTTTCGGTAGGCGCTTTGAATATTTTCTAATTATCCTTTCTTTTATTTTGTCTATCAAGTGGTTATCTTTTCAACATTTTCTTTAAACTCAATATCATTTTATCTTCACTTAGAGATCTAGTTTTGGATCATTCTTAGCAAGTGTTTCTTTCAGGCAACTCTTCTGGGTCGGGGAGGAAACAGAAGGGGTTGTTTATTCCCCACCGGGGTATTTAAGACCCTTCCCGGTCGTAACAAAAAAGGATTATGGTATTTAAATATTTTAAATAGCATTTATTTAAATAATTCTTATAAATGCCCCCCCCCCCCCCCACACACAGGTAAGAAACTGATATTATCTAAAAGAAACGATGTCTCTAGCTGTCTAGCACGTGTGAGGGTTGACCGGTAGTGTGTGCTAGTTTTGAAAAAGAAAAACAACTAATGTAATGTTTAACATGGATGCAGAGTTTACATAGACCAATTTCATGTGTCCTTCTATTCATAGCATAGGCTTCAAGACTTTTTGGCATCCCCGTTCGTTCAATAGACCGATGATTTATAGTTTACCCCCCCCCCCCCCCACCACACCTCCGACACATATTGATAGTGGATTAAATGGGCGAAAACTTGTAATGAAGCGCAGCTTTCCCGTTTCCCCTTATGTAAGCTATGATAACCTATCCCCTCTATCCCCCACATACTTTACACAAAGCATCCCAATGCTTTTTCAACGCCCGTGCACATACAGACAATAATTATTTTATTCTTTACTTATGACTAATTCAATACCAAATAGGTTTTTAGTACTCATTTTGAAGATTGCTATTGTTTTTTTAATCTAATATGTTTGTAAACAAATTATATTTTCAGTGATCACATAATAAAGTTGGGCTCCGACATGGCATTACTCTAGTTTTCCTGATCTTGAGAAACGGTCATACGGAATGGGAGAAAACGCAATCATTCTAGGTTTAATTTTTAATGTTTTTTTAATGTAGTTAAAGTATTTTATATTTTTCTTTTTGTGTTTAATTTAATTATAACTCAAGATCAGTGTTTAAGTTTAAGCTTTTAAAAACTCGTTCGTCTGTACAAAATACGTTTAGGTAATTGTAATCATATAAAATACGATAATTTTTTAGTGAATATATTACTCAAAAGATATACATTGTAAAACAGGGCATAAATACTTTATGCTCTCTTTGCTTTTAACATTAAACTGCATCCATCCTTACATACATCTAAATAAAAGGGTTATGGATTAAGATAAAGATTATATGTTACCACGAGAACCATACTTGGGGTTGCTGTACAGTTATCAGATCAACTAGGTGTGCAGTGTGTTGGGTGGTAATACATCCCACTAATTTCATTCATCTAAGTATTGTTCATCTTATATGACTAGACGTAAATCATATTTGTGCTGTGAATGTTATAACATTGACCATAAACTGATATGTTTTCAGTAATTTTAAAATTTTCTCATGAATTTTTACCTTTTGATTATTGTTTGGTAAAATAAACAAACAAAAGACGTTGGTCTAATGTTTTTTTTTATTTGTTCATTTTGACATAGGGTTTGTCTGCGTTTATATAGGCCTACCTTTAGATTTGTCACTTTTCAATAAATTTTAAATTATAGCATATTTTTACCTGTTGATTATTGTTTGATTGAATAAACAAACAAAATACTTTGATTTGTCTGGCGTTTTTCATATTTGTTCATTTTTTCATATGGTTTGTTTTCTTTGGTATACTTTTCTATCTGTCACTTTTCGTCGTGGTAAACATAGAAATGTCTACAACAATAATACGACAGAAAATTTAATGACAGGGCATATTTTGCTTTTTTTTTAAAAATTTGGTGCTTTACAATTTCCACTTAGCACCTTTTTCCTGTGGTAAATGATATCACGCCATCCTTAGAATAGTTACAAATCAGTTTGATCATAATTATTTTAGACCAAATCAATATAACAGGTTTAGCATCTTTTTATTTTGTTCGTCCACATCTTTCAGTTAAAAGACATTGAAATGTGCATTATGACGAATCTTGTGATAATCAAGTATTAATACAAAAAAAAACCTCATCTTTTCTCTGTTAAGTTCGTTGTACCCTATCGTGTCACACTATATAAAATGCTGTGTTTAAATCCAACAAACTAAAAAATATTTACCTTCACATAGTAGTGTTTACTTGGTGTATTTTTAGTCCCTCGTGTTGATTTCACATGGTACACTCTACCCAGACGTCTGACACCATATACTATAAATAAATACAGTAAACAATGAGAGTTCAACGATCGGTATGTTGTCAAACATGCAGTCTAAAAATAGACCCACTCCGCGGAAGCGAAACTAGGCCATCGAACGAGTTCAACTACCTGTTTGACTGTTATTTTGTAAACAATAAACACACTGAAGAGTAATGGTCTCATTAATCGTAAATGTTGTCGTCTTGTTGTCAGTGGGGGGGGGGGGATTAATGGGGAGGCTAATCAGGCTGAAGCCGGGCAGTATTTCTTTAAGGCATCTTGTGTCGCCCCCCCACCCCCCACACACACCCTGAAGCACTACCGCCCCCCCCTTCCAGAACGAAAAAGAATTAATATAGAAAATATATACATTTACCAGTGTCCGCCTACCACCGGAAGATTTAGTCCGCGCAACCCCCACCCCCTTCATACATTTAAAGTGCCCCTCCCTCCCCCCCCCCCGGAGATAAAAGTCTGGAAGAAACACTTTCACAATTCACTAACATTTATTTGTCTGATCACCCAACTTTTATCATTTCTCACAACCTTTGCCCCCCCCCCCCCCCACTGAGAAAAAAGTCTGAAAGAAACATTGCAGCCTGGGCTCACGCCTTTTACGTTTTTTTTCCCGGTTTTTAAAGCACATTGCACTAACAGACCTACCTACTTACACGTATATAAGTAATATATCAAATATATCATTGTCAAACTCACCCAATTGACCAAAAGTTCCACAATACATTGAGGGTATCGTATTTTAGTGCCAAAGAAACTAATATTAAACAAGGTCCTTACATACAGCATAAGCAAAACAGTTCATGCAGTATAATCATCTAGACCAGGGGTCTCCAAACTACGTTCCTCGGGCCGGATGCGGCCCGCGATGTTCCCCAATCCGGCCCGCGGTGATCTTTTTGTCCAAGGAAAAAACGTTTGTTGGTTATAGCTGAGGAACCTTGCCCAGAAAAATCAAAGACATGCATGGAAGAAACTTGACCCCGAACTGAAATTTGATAGTTAATGCGGCCCTCGGACTGAAAAGTTTGGAGAACCCTGATCTAGACATTAAGACAGATGCTTCCATTTTCTTCGAAGCCTGACCAAAGACAATACTCATGAACAATCATTTGAGAGTTAAACATTGAAGAAGTTCAGGGTTTTTGATCGTCACAGTGGAGTGAATATCCTTTAGAGCTTGCAGTTTTATAGATATTGAAGTGAAATCATCTTTGAGATAATCTGTTAATCTGTCCGCCTGATACAAGTTCTCGTATAGTACTAGCGGCCTATAGGAAGATAAAGTAGAGTTCATCTGTTTTCCTAAACTTCAACGTATGAAGTGAATTTGAGATCATCATTGTGACAAGCCGCCTGTAATTTCCAGTACAAGTCTTATGACGGAGTGGTCTCGCGCTAGAGAGCTAAACTGCTAACCCGTAAGTCTCGAGTTTGAGTCCGGGTTCAAGTCAGTAGACCGTCCCTGAGTCCACCCAATTACGATGGGTACCTAGCTCACGTTAGAGAAAGTAAAGGCGGCTAACCACACAGAAAAAGCGAACTCTACTTAACCTTCCCTATAGACCGCAAGATTTGAAAGGGAACTTTACAAGTTTTATGTATCCATCCTGTTAGTTGGATTGGATCAAAGTTCGGGACCTGCTGGTTTAGCGAGTACTCAGCCACGCCAAATCGTACACACACAACAGCCGATACAAAAGAATGGGATCAACCTTTGAAATCTGGCTGACTCCGACTGAAGTGAGTTAGGAATGTGAAGAAAGTCGAATACAACTCGTCATCCCAAAATCAGAAAAGCTAAAGTCATCTACTTCTTCTTCTTCTTCATTCTGAATTTTAATATTGGAAGGGATCGAACCTTATCGGCCAGAGGGTTCGAACTCGAGACTTTTTCGAGTTTAACAACCATGAGCTTTTACCGACTCGACCATGCCTCAACACAGTTAAGTATTACATGTCAACTGGTTACTATACGTTAGGCCATTGACTCCGATTTCAACCTTCTTTTCTTGATGGATTTGCTTCCATAACCTTTGTCCAACCTAGAACAAACTACAAGGCAGCAGTTATTTGATTTTGGAGTTTGGTCTCCTTGAAGAGTGGTTGATGAGCCTCATCTACCCGAGGATTCGAACCATTAGCTTTACAGACTCGACCACGCCGACCAGTATATAGGATCAAAGTTCGGGACCTGCTGGTTTAGCGAGTACTCAGCCACGCCAAATCGTACACACACAACAGCCGATACAAAAGAATGGGATCAACCTTAGAAATCTGGCTGACTCCGACTGGAGTGAGTTAGGAATGTGAAGAAAGTCGAATACAACTCGTCATCCCAAAATCAGAAAAGCTTAAGTCAACCAGAACTAGTGTGATTATACTAAAGCTTTTTCATAATATTGTGCAATAGTATCATACATACTACGATAGTATGAAAATCACCCAATGGTATTTCCAGAATCGGAACTCTAAAATTAGCTTCATGTAAGTGTACCTGTTATTTTCATGCGTTTAGTTATCAAACAAACAAAAATTGAAACGTTCCTATATTTAGTTATATAACTATATCAAGCAAATATTGAATATGATGTGCATTTTTTAACAGCACAAGTTTATTTATATAAACATAAATAACATTTTAAAAAGCCATAAAAATTTTAAATTCATGAATTGTAATGGGTGCTTTATTTAAAGTTAGGTAACAACAGTTTCATTATCGACTTTCTATTAACGAACTTTTTAAACCTACTAATTAACACTAAAAATTAACGAAATATTTTATAAAGATGGAGAAACTGTAAAAAACAACAACAAAAAACTATTACGTTAGACTGTTTTATTCTTTACTTCCGGAGTAAGAGAGTGTTGATTGTGTCATGCACGAAATGAAGCAGTTGGCGTTTGGGTTGCGTGTGTGTTTCTTGTTGGGGAGGGTTGGTACAAGAGTGCATGATGTTATACATGTGATGTGGCAGATACAGGGGTTGAAGAGACACGGGTCAAGGATGTATAATTTAATACAATGGGCAACTTCTTCAAACACATTTGTAAACACAAGATTGTATGATTTAACACATAGACAACTTCTTCAAATACATTTGTAAACACAAGATTGTATGATTTAACACACAATTATGTATAGGTCTCAACTGATTAAGCGCCATTTAGGCCGTTGATTAAGGCCTGAATTTAGTTTTGGATTTGCTTCTATAGCCTTTGTCCAACCAAGAACAAACTACAAGGCCTTTTGTCCGTGTCGGCCTTTTGTCTTGTCGGCCTTTTGGATGTCGGCCTTTTGTCCTACACCCCATATACAGTCTAGTTTCTAGCATCACATTCTTTTTAAATACAAAAGTTTCTCGTCAAACTTTCCTAAACCCCCTTCACACTCGTCACCCATGTAACAAAACCCCTCATCAACCTAAGAGTGCGTCGTCGTTTATGAACGCCCCACTACGGCTGTCAGCACTGTGTTTCGGCCTAACTAAAAATAGCTTTTTATTCAGATATTATTTCCACCTCTCTACAGATAAACTACACCCCAATTTTCTAAATCTTAACTCCCATGGCCACCATGGAGAAAGGGGAAGTCACCCTCCACCTTCAAGGAGCCCATAAACCTGTGAATACAGGTTGCCATAGAAACCATGCTGTCTGGCAATGGCACGTATTTTGTTTTTAAGTTTTATTCTGACGTAAAGTTTGATTACTAAATTTTACTCAGTTCCCAAACGTCTGTTTGTTTGTAGGTTTGTGGCACATCTTGTAACTAAGTTTTGACTCACTTCTAATGCATTGATTTTGTTCAAACTTTACTGATACGTTCCAATTTAATGACACTACAAGTCGATCTATTTTTTAATCTAATTAGATTTCAATTTAGTTATTAAAATAAATCAAACGATTTCGAAACAAAGGGGAGATATCAAAATTAAATCACTCGATATATTACTATATTCAATAACAGAAGGGGAGATAACTAGCTCAACGCGATACCCCTAACAGTCTGGTATTTTAAATATTTCTTTTGTTGCATGTGTTAACATAGACCTACAGACAGCAAATAGAGAATTAGGGCGAATCACAGCGGTTTTTTTTAAGTCGTTGCTGTGGTTACAGACAGATTCGTTTTTATTTTCGGTGCAACAATACAGAAATGTATAAGTGTTTTACTAGCTCTACATCAATACTGATTCGCTGAAGTAGCGCTAAATAAATATACTCGAATGATAATTGTTTGTGGGATGGAATTATATTTTTCTTCACGTTCGTTACATAGTTGAGAAAGATAAATGTTGAATTTTACATTGAAAAAGCCTACGATATAAACGAATTTACTCTTCACCTATACTTTTGTCCTACATGATAGAAACTCTGTTATGTTAGTAACTAAACAAGGAGCATATTGGAAACCCAATACTAAAATAGGTTCCCTAATAATCTTAGACATACGGAAGGTGAACACTTAAGCTGACCACACTATCCTTTCGTTTGCTGGGACCAAGAAACATGTACACTCTACTTCATCTGCACTATGCGTCTGAAAATGTGAACTTTACTTTTTTTTTTCTCGCAACATGTTTAAATTTTAAGCGAGTCTGAAACGAACAACAATTTACGTTCCCGTGTACTTTTATTTTCGCGCGTTAATTTAAAAAAAAAATCGTAAATTTTTATTTTCTATTAAAATAGTACTTTTGTAAGTAAAAAAAATAGTTTACTAAAATTATATTCCTAATTTGATATTAAAATTGTATTTACTTGATCTGATGGAATCTAGCGTTTTGAACAATAACCTGGCACAAAGAAAAAAATAAAATAATTATTTATTTATGCTCCTGCATTACTATTTTGTAAAACTCTTTCTAAAAGCTAAATTTGAATATTGAATATTCAAGTAATTTAAATTTTTAGTTGCTGGAATAAATAAATATTTCTCTATGACACGACGTTGTTATTTCGTTTTATTTATATTTATAGTTCTGTGTTAGAAAGTTGTATTCTAGACGTACTTTTTTTGTAGATTTTTTTTAACAGAGTTATGTTGTATTTATATTTTAACCACTACACGATACTATTAGTGAAATTTCAGCAGGCCTACATCTACTGGATAAGTCTGGATATAAAACACAAAATGTTAGAAAAAATAAAATAATAAAAATTCCAATTGTAGATTACTATTGGTAATAAGTTTTGATGACCAAGAAATATACCTGACACATAACTCGATCTATAAGAACATGATTAGAAAAATATTTTTGTTAAATCTCCCTAGGCACCCGAAGTTTACTTTCGTGACTCAGCTTGATATGAAAAGAAACTATACGAAACCACAGTGGCGTCGCTAGGTAGGGTGACACCCTGTGCGGCACCTCATGTTGTCAACCCCCCTTATTTGTCTCTGTAAATTTCAGTTGGTGTCCCCCCCCTCCCCCGAAAAAGCTTTAAAGTGTTTACATTTAATACTAATGATGTTGAATGTGTATCTATAGTTGGTTGAAATACAGCTGGGTGTAGTATTGTTTTCTCTATAGTTTGCATGTTTACGGCAAAGTGTCACCCCACTCCCTTGTCGGGATCGTTACTATGTAATTAAAATACTTTTTAACTAAACATTCATTGAACTGGCAAAGAAAATGTATTCAATAAATTTTGAATTTTTTTGTGTCTTCGTGTCACCCCAAATAAATGGTGTCACCCGGTGCGATTCGCGCCCCGCCTCCCGTACCCGCCTCGCGACGCCTACGAAACCCTTACCGTGAGGTCAACTATTTCTGTTGAGAAAGTTTCCTCTCCTTCTTATTAACGCCACACATATAAAGGCGATTAAGTGTAATTTGTGTCACATAACTCGGACAGGAAAATAGAGAACATTAATTATGTTTAGTGAACTTCCACTTGGTGTAAGGCTTCGCTCGCTAAATGTTAATTCAAACTTTTCCATCTTACAGGTTTCCACATGTTCTCTCGCTAATTGCCGTTCTCATTTCAATAACGGCAGTTGTCCTACTGGTTAAAGTGTTACAGGTTAGTTGTAAATCTTAAGTAAACAAGTTTAAAAACAGTTCCTTGATAGTAGTTTTGTTTCAAACGCCAAAGTGAATTTTCGTAAAAACGTGCTTTGAAAATTTAATGATATTTCGAACTCTTTTTTTAGCGAAATTAATTATTTTTTTCAGAACAAACGTAAAAATCAAGAAAACAGAATTTTTGTGTTTAAAAATGTGGTCGTTTGACACAAAAGTTCTGTCAAGGAACTGCTTAAATCCATGTTGTTTAGCGAGCTTTCTTGTATGGTTTCGATTTTAGATGGGAGAGAAGAGTTTTGAGAAGGTTGGCAGATTGAGGGGAGATGTGGTGGTCGGCTGTGACTACACATGACGACAGATGGTAAACATAGCATCGGATATAACATCCAGGCTGATACAGTCATAGAAGTAAACGTGATACTTGTTGATCCATCTTCTCTAGGAGCTTAAAGACATTGCAACAATGAAGACGAGGAGTTTATGTGTCGGTTGTTTCATTATTTATTTAACTGTATCTGACTATTTTTAACGCTATTTATAGATTAAAAAGTTATGTTTTTGTATTGTTTTAATTGAAAAGAAAATTTAGCAACATGCATTTTCTTCTGTTTTTTTAGGCGGGAAAATCACGAGATTCCCATGTCACTTGCAACCAATTGAAAACAAATCCAGGCAATGCAAATGGTAGAAATAAGTTAAACAGCCTCAATAAGTTGGACAAGAGCCAATTAGAAGCGTGTTGTTACAGACAGGTACATATCGCTTCTTACTCCACGGTAGACTTATGTAAAAGTTTCAAACAATTTAGATACATATGGACTAGAAAATTTAAATAACAGTTTCACCGCCAACTGAAGGTCAAAAGAGCCTTAAGGCGATTAAGAAATGGAATTTTCATTCGTTGATTTAAAATATTTGAAGTGTTAATAAATACTATGCTTGTGGTAAATTATTCAATATTTTATCTCGAATAAAAATAAGTGGACGCAAAACTTTGGAAAAATAAAATGTTAGTTTAGGGTAGCAGTTTCTCTTAACTTTTTACCTTTGAAATAAAATGTATTTCTTTCGATATTAAAGATGCTGCAATCAAGTAAGTCGACAAAAGGTAAGCTTCAGTTTTGTACATCAATAAATACTATATGTATCTGTATAATTTAAAAACTACTGAAATCACCATTTCCTTATAATACCATGAGTTTCTCAAAGAGATTTTTCGAAAATATATTATATATTATTATAAAAAAATAAATTTAAAAAAATACATATATATATATATATATATGGATATATATATATATATATATATATATATATATATATGGATATATATATATATATATATATATATATATATATATATATATATATATATATATATATATATATATATATATATATATATATATATATATGCCAGAATATATCCAGCCCAAGATTCCTTTCCAGGTGTTGCATCTGGTCACGTGACAACTAACACATCAACCCCCGTGTCAGCCCACAAACACCTGCTACTGCCTGACAGGTTCCCTGGGACCTTTGGTCTTGCAGGCGAGCACTTTTCTAAGGTAGAATTGTATTGTAACGGGAATTATACCTCCCCTTTACTAAGGTAGAATTGTATTGTAACGGGAATTATACCTCCCCTTTACTAAGGTAAAATTGTATTGTAACGGGAATTATACCTCCCCTTTACTAAGGTAAAATTGTATTGTAACGGGAATTATACCTCCACTTTACTAAGGTAGAATTGTATTGTAACGGGAATTATACCTCCCCTTTACTAAGGTAAAATTGTAGTGTAACGGGAATAATACCTCCCCTTTACTAAGGTAGAATTGTATTGTAACGGGAATTATACCTCCCCTTTACTAAGGTAGAATTGTATTGTAACGGGAATTATAATTAAGAAACAAACTTTTGTAAAATTTAATGATCAATGATTTTTATATTCTGAAAGGAATAATTGCCACAGTTCACTTTAAGCAAACCTTTAAGTACAAAATATTATACTTTTCCAATTAAATTTGACCTGCTATGATAATGAATAGCTCGTTTATAACTATCAACACTTTTTTTGTTTTTTAGATCCCATCTTCAGCAGTACTCACAGAGTGGTGATGAAGTTTGACGTCACACACACTGACCTCTCCATAGAACACGTCAGGGGTGTCGGGGTGTCGGAGGAAGCCTTGGAGATTTTGTACGACGGTAAGTTGTGTCTTGGTCTCTCCATGTGTTGCCATTGTCGGTCTTTGGTGCTTTGACCATAGGGGCTTTGACCATAGCGGGGCTTTGACCATTATGGCTTTGATCATAAAGGGGCTTTCATCATAGGGGGTTTGACCACATGTGTTTCTCCACAGAGAGTCTTTGATCACATGTAGTTTGTCAACGGGTGTTTGATCACAAGCGCAGTGTCCGGCTTTGAACACAGGTGTTTTGTCCAAATATGGTAAGGATTAATTTAATAAGTTATATTTTAAATTGCGGCAGGATGTTATAGTATGTTAGTTCATCATACATTAATACAAGTCATCTAAACCACTCTATGTCAAAACCACGGTGAATCAAAAAAGGTAAAATAACTGTGTTGAATCGTGGCCATGAATTTTGGTTTCACAGAGAACGCCAGGATGGTGTACGAATAAGCGCACTTGTAAGTGCAAAGCTACATTAGTTGCACAAGATCTTGTCATTATAGGCGAGAAGATTTCTCAACATTCACACGAAGGAAACATTAGCTATTGTTTGGCAAAACGAGCTGTTGGAGAAATTTCCAAGCCTCTGTAGTCACATCCCCACTGTGGTCAAACCACCAATTGTAAATGCACCTATTGTCTGCGCCCTCCATTGTATTTGTGTGTCTCACTTTTCTTCTTGTGTCTTGTTGTGTCGCCGTTTGTCTCTCTTTTTTGTGTGACATGGTTTGTGTCTACTTGTGTCTCATTTTGTGTGTGTGTGTCTTGTTGTGTCTCCACGTGTCTCACCATTCTTCTTCTTGTCTTACTTCTGTATGTGTCTCTTTTTGCCTCGCGTTGTCTTGTATCTGCGTGAGTCTCAATGTCTCAGATAATCTCTGAGGATTCGCTTGTCTCCGTGAGTCAGACGGTGTCTTCATTCATGGTGAAATTATTTGTCTGTAGCACTGTTGTACATTTTTGCTGTTAAAACTTGAGCAGCAAAGTCCAACGGGTGAGAGGAAAAAAAAAAAATCAAACAACTCACACATGTTTAACTCTGTATGATTTTTAAAAATCTATTTCCCTACCACCCCCAACCCAAGTATTACTATTCCAAAAAAAAAAAAAAAAAAACTTAGTGCATAAATCTAAACAAGCCAATGAAAAAAAAATTTGCTTCTTATATAGACTAAGTTATATAGAAGATCTTCTTAGGAGTAACTGAAAAAAAGTCTAGTGACAATGTAAGCGCAATTTCTTTATGTTATCCATAACAGTTTTTTGTGGCCGATCGAAAGGATATTTTTGAAAACTTTCTTCGGCAATATTGTTCTAAATTATGGCAAAAATCGATAGGTAAATGTTTCAAGTCGCTAAGTGGTCTGGTTGCCGAGATATGGGCAAAAAACTGCATTTTTTCGAGGTTTTTTGGCTTTTCCTGGAAATCCAGGAAGGAATTCCGGGAATTTTTTAGCCCACAATCATCCTCGGAACTTGCTTAACATATTTGCTTTTGGAACTAGTCCTCGATATTGCTTCTTTGAGGAGGAGACAAGACTTAAAGCTGCGGACACACACACATCCATCCATCCATCCATCCATCCATCCATCCATCCATCCATCCATCCATCCATCCATCCATCCATCCATCCATCCATCCATCCATCCATCCATCCATCCATCCATCCATCCATCCATCCATCCATCCAGAAATAACGAATTAATAATCGCAATTGCCAGTATGGAAATTGCGCTAAAAATTACGTTGTTTTCTTTCACCCACATCACTCTTCTTGGCTTGTTTTGTGTTCGGTATATCTTGTTTTATTCCCCTTTCCACATTAACTTGTTTAAATAGACAATAGACAATACTAAGCAGTAATCGTTTGTGCTTGCTTCATGTTTTTCGTTGGTAGTCGATCTGTTTACAATCAAATACTTAAAGCAAGCACGTAAATACATTAGAAAATATTGTTATTGATATTTTTCTAGTTAGGCTATTTTGTTTATAAAATAGATATTACAAAATCCTATATCGATGTTATGGATTTGTTTAACTAAAAGAACAATAATCAAACGTAATCGTCTTATATTTCAGGATTATACTTCGTATACAGTAACGTTAACTTTAAGCCAAACTCAACAAGGCCGTCTGAAGAATTTATTTATCAAGTAAGTCTTTAAACTTACTTTGCCATCAACAACGATTACATTATATGAACACTTGAACCCTAATTTTAAACCTAACCCTAAGACTCACATCTGAAATAACTATCCTTATGCCTGATCATAATACTTTATACATACAGTGTGGAGCTCAAAGTAGACGCTATTTAATAGGTAGATCTAGAAAGTGGTTCTTTGACATTTCTTGGAGGAACGAATCTCACCAGCGTCATAAGCGTATTCACCGAACCCCTCTTAGTAGTTCTATCGTCCGCAATGACAAAGTCTTATAGCGAATCTAATGAATCGTAGGAGAGGGGGGGGGGGGGGGGGGGGGGCAAGGATGAGAGGGGTGTTGACCTCCACCGAACCCCTGAGACTGACATGTTGAACATGTGAGGTTCGATCGAACCCAGGATAAGAACTACTGATCTAGATCATTAAAGTTAGGAGGTTAATCTCAAGTTTACTAATTAGTGCAAAAAATAAATTGAAATATGATTTTTGATGGTAGATCTTCTCTTCAAGTTGACAAACAGACTTGTTGAAAATAATTAGTATTCATACAAAAAAATACGTTCAATTTTGTCAAAAACTACGTAACCCTTAAAAAAGCATAACCTTCCGTAAGAAAATAAAGTTTGCGTCAAATATTTTTTTACCTCTACAAATTTTGTTTGACCCCGGTTAGACCTGGTTCCAGTACGTGAGCCGTAACTGTGCCAGAATCCCCATGATGTCCGGCGTGTTGTTACGTACTGTCCACACCGTGTGTCACAACTGTACCCTCAGCCAGGAAACGGCTTTTACTGGTAATCAGCGGTTCTCACATTGATTTCCTCTTCAGCCACTTGTCATTATTTACGTTCTTTTAGTAGTACTTGTACCTATTTTACCCATTTTCGAGCCTAGCGCGGATGTTCCTTATATATTTTTATGTATACAATTCAATCTTTAAAATATACTTCTCGGGGATATTCTGTCCCTGGCCACCCGTCATAGTTACGCCAAGATTCAAACTTTAAAATATACTTCCCGGGGGCATTCTGCCCCTTGCTACCCTCCATAGTAACGCCATTCCTTGCTTTTACAAAACAACTACCCAGCTATGAAATTAAACCTTTATATATCTGGTAAATGTGGTATTCATTCAAACGTATTTTAATACTAAACGTCTGGTAAATGTAATATTTCATTCACATTTGTATTTTGTTACTAATTTAATGTTTATAAAAAGTAAACTCTTCTTCTAGGTCGTCCTCACCACATTAATATTACTAACTATTAAACTCATTTTAGGAAACAGTTTTTGTTTTTTTAGCTTGAAAATAAAAATCGACGCTCGTTAAAATAAATATTGATCACTAATTTTTTTAAAAAATTCTTGGCGTTAATAA